TTCTCTCTCTCTCTTTCACTCTCTTTCTCTCTCTCATTTTCTCTATTTCATTCTCTCTCCCCCTTTCATTCTCTCTTTCATTTTCTCTCTCTCTCTTTCACTCTCTTTCTCTCTCTCATTTTCTCTATTTCATTCTCTCTCCCCCTTTCATTCTCTCTTTCATTTTCTCTCTCTCTCTTTCACTCTCTTTCTCTCTCTTATTTTCTCTATTTCATTCTCTCTCCCCCTTTCATTCTCTCTTTCATTTTCTCTCTCTCTCTTTCACTCTCTTTCTCTCTCTTATTTTCTCTATTTCATTCTCTCTCCCCCTTTCATTCTCTCTTTCATTTTCTCTCTCTCTCTTTCACTCTTTCTCTCTCTCATTTTCTCTATTTCATTCACTCTCCCCCTTTCATTCTCTCTTTCATTTTCTCTCTCTCTTTCATTCTCTTTCTCTCTCTCATTTTCTCTATTCCATTCACTCTCCCCCTTTCATTCTCTCTTTCATTTTCTCTCTCTTTCATTCTCTTTATCTCTCTCATTTTCTCTATTTCATTCTCTCTCTCTCCCTTTCATTCTCTCTCTCTCTTATTCTCTCCCTTTCATTCTCTCTTTCTCTTCCCCACTCCCCTCCCCCATTGGCTTGGGTCTTTATCCTTAAAAGGAACAGAAACTCCATTGGGGATTGTTGCAATTTTTTAAATTATTTCCTTTGAAGGAGACTTGTAAGAATTCAGAATTTGCACCCTGCATTCAAAACTTAGCCCGGCTTCATTAAAATCCCCTGCCTCTTCCATGGCTTCTAGGTAACCAGGCAGGATTGCTATTTCAAAGATTGAGGGACAGAAACATTACCTTGGCAACGTTGCTCTGGGAAGACATAGCGTCCATCGGATGTCACTGCCCGTTCTGCAAAGCAGCACAATGGTTACTGGGGATGCCACAGGAGAAACAATTATCTTGTAGCAAAGGGTGAAGACCAATTTGAAGGTAGCCAGAATGTGTCCATACATTCGGGATGGCTTAATGGAATGCTGAGACATAAGATGGCTTGTCAATTGCTTTTTCTCCCTGCAGTGTAGGAACCCAACCATTGTCATCTTGCCATTTGTTTTCTATCCTGCTTTCAGTTCTGGTAAACAGAATTTCTATCCTTTTATTTTTAGAGAGAGATTTAAGATCTTCTCCATTGTCTAGCAAACTTTATGTAGCTGTAGCAACTGGAATAGTTCTGAGACTGAGTACCTGCTGTCACTCAAGCAGAACTGAGATAAGTGAAGAATGGCATAAATCGGGATCTCTCTCACATGGAAAACAATTACTTCCACATTGGATCATAAAAACCCCAAATTAGCTGATCTCATCAACAGACTAGGGATGAGAAGAAGACTATGTCACGTGGAAACAAGATTTTCTCATTTTATCTCAAAGATGCCTTGTTAACAATTCTTCAAGGATATATATATATATATATTCTGTCAAAGCATCTGGTCTGCCCAAATATGGGAGGGAGCATACTGCTTCCCTTTCGCCTTTCAGCCCCATTCCCGGAGCCTTCCGGGCACTCGCTTATATGACAAACCATTTTGTGTTACACTTTTGCTGATAAAGAAATGAAGGGAGTCTAGTATATATCATTTCAAGGTATTTAGCTCTCATCAGCTAGCCATACCCTTGCTGGGATTCGAACTCCCCTGGTAGAGCTGATAAAGGGAGGAGAACCTGTGGACTAGAGGTTAATATAACTGCCTAATATGTAAGCAGCCCAAGTTTGAATCC